CTTTTTATTTTTGTCGTTCGCAGCACACTAGTCAGAAAGAGGTGGCCATCAAAACCGGTGGAAAGGAAAAGTTGCGGATCACTGCCGTGCTTGCAGCAAACATGAAGGGCGGCAAACTCCCGCCGCTGCTCATCTTTAAGGGTAAGCCTACGGCACCGGGTACCTCTCTGAGGGTATGCTATCCCCTTCTTGTCCTTGCCCACCTTGAACTCTCGTTCGATGCTGTTGGCAGCGTCAATAGAGAAAGCAGAGGCGACGAAAAAAGTCGATTTTGTAGATGAGAATGACAGTTTTTTACGCACAAAGTGACGTATAGGTTTTGCAGTACAGTGATGATGGAAGCGAATGGTAAGAAAATTGTAACCCGGCAGAAGCACAATACCAACGTCGTCTAGCCTTACTGGCTGGACACTGAGTAGGTATGCGGCAAGAAATATGGCATCACAATGCCCACTGTTTGCACGGAATGCGAAGAAACGACCAGACAGGCACATGATTCGAAGCAACACTTTTTGAACTCACCGCCATGGTCGACGTGCCAGCGGGCTCCATCCACACAGCAGTTTCATCCATGCTGTAGCTCTGCTCCTCCTTGAACAACAGAGGTGGCTTCGAAGGCGCACTGCTCGTTGCACCGTCGATTCCTCCGTGACGAAGCGCCCTCCATTCCTTGACGGCTTTTATGGCAATCGTCGGCCACCCGGAAGGGAGTTTCTGGCCTTGCCTGGTAACCGCTCGGAATGACAACCGGTTCTTCCTGAGGAACCTCCTGCACCAGTGAGTCTGCTTGTTGCGGTACTTTCTACTGCCCTCCAGGTCGTTCGTTGCAGGCCTCGGGCCGAACCAAAGCAAGTTGAGCGATACCGCCTTGTTCTTGATCATGCTTGTAGAGACGCGGGCAGAGATGGCTTCCGAACGAACATCGTTGATCCAGTCGAGAAGTTCGAGCTCGGCCTCAGCGTTTGACCTTACCCTCCCCGTGTTAAACGACTTCACGCTCCGGCCTTTTTTCTTGCCTTTGGCCCCGAGCTGGTCTGCCTGTTCCAGCTGCTTCTCGTACTTCGTTCTGTCTTTTATCCACGCAGAGAGTGTCGGGAATCCCAAGCATTCGTTGCGCATACGACACGCCGATGGTTCCATTAGGCCCCTGCGCCCCCGGGCTTTGCATGGTCGCGTACTTAATGGCGTTTACTTTGAATTCCAAATCGTACCGCTTGCGCTTCTGGCCACCACCAAACTTAATGGGGAAGTTTGGTGGCTCCAATTCCAACGGCTCTCTTTTCCTCTTGCCCTTGCCCTTGCCCTCGGCCGGCGTGCCGTCCAGATGCCCACCGAAACCATCTGTCCACTCCTCTGACTCTCCAGGAAACATGGTGTCGCCGACGGGCGCCGCTGCGGCTGCTGTCGTCGGTGCTTCAGGCAGATGCACATTCCTGGAAAGCGCATGAGTTCGAGGAAGCAACAAAGCATGTAGCATACGTGTCATTAAGTGCAGTGTCTGTAACAATGCGCTCGCTCCAACGACCATCAGACAAACGTACCAAGAATACGATGGCTAGCGGATAGCTCTGACAACAGCCACCAGGTTGAAAGTCATGGCGTCCACGCTTGCAAGGTACAGAGAGTGAGCAGCTGACGGCACCTATTTCGTATCTCACACAAACAGGCACGAACTGCTGTCGAGGTTATGTTGACATATTTGCACGTGTTGGGTACGGGTTTCGCAGTCTTCCTACCGAAACATCACAAAACACAAAAAAACGGCACGCGGAAACGTGTCGTGTGTTTGAAAAAAACAATCCAGTAAACATTTCGCCTACACAACATGATATATTTGAACAATATGAAACATGCCGAAATACAGTCAGGCGAGCGCGACGACACGACGCTAACATCACATTCTTTTTTCGATCTGGTTATCGAGCAGGCAATCAGGCGTGGCATGTTCTTTGGTTTGCTTGAGCCATGAGAATCCTCACAAACACCCATGTGCTGCAAACTGCAAGACGCTCTGCGCACACCTTATTTTGATGTAGACATCGCCAGACTTCGCATGCCTGCCGCAAAACTACGGCATATCCTTCCCTGGCTCAGCCCACAAGGGCTTGTTGGTGTACGATGGTTCTCCGCAGCGCGGTGCTGCTGCAGGGTTCTCAGCAGTAGCCGCGCTCAGGGTGTTAGTGGTTGGCGGGAGAGCTGCCTTTTCGGGTGTGGGTGTGGGTGCTGCGGGATTCTCAGCAGTAGGTTCTGCTTCGCAGGTTTCAGCGGCACCCGCGGTGGCAGGCGTAGCCGGTGCTGTGGGAGTCTCAGCAGCAGTAGATTCTGTTAAGCGGGCCTCAGCAGTACGTGCGGTGTCATGTGCGGCTTCTGAGGGAGTCGTCCGAGCAGCCCCACGTTCTCCCGGGGGGGGTCGACAGAAGGACGCTATGGAGCGTGGGGCCCCCGCTGGAGTCTTGCCACTGCAGTCTGAGCCGCGGGGCTTTCAGCCGGGTTGTTAACTGCACCACCCTCCGCGACATTGTCCGCCTCCATGGCTCTTGCGAGCAGGTGGTATGGTTGAGATCTCTGTCCTCACGTTGTCACACCGTGTGATAAGCGGGGGCTCTGTCGATTTATGCGGCTCAACTTCAGGGGTGCGGTATCTTATGTCACCGTGTGATAAAATGACGTTTTTTGGGAGGCTGAAAAAAACAGCACACGGGTGTGGTATGGGTACGTTTTCTGAGGGGGTGTGGTATCTAATGAAAGTGTGATATCTTATGCAACCTACGGTAGTCGATCATTGCCTCGTCGTTTCATGTAAGCACAAACAGACGGAGAATGTCGGAGGAACCGCCTCACGGACGGGATACCTGAGGTTTTGGCCTGGACAGTGCGGTTGTTGTTGTGTGAATGGCTACCCATGGCCTTTTTCGTGTTGGCTTTTTTTAGCTGGAGTTGACGGTAAAGGGTCATCTATAATTTTTTCATAGTACTGCAGTCGTCCCTGATTTAAAGACACCATTTTTAAAGACTCGCCCCGCTATAAGGACAAAAAAAACTCAGAAACATGGTGCCCCGCAGATGTGAAAAAGTAGGGGGGGGTAGGTTTTTTCCACCATTCGACCCCCCCCAGAAAATGTGCTGCAGCACGTGTAGATCCTGGATCATCAACAGCGGTCTGCTGCAGCCGAACACTGCGTGTGGGTGTATGGAAAGATTCATTCCATCTGCTAGCGGTTCGTTTGCTGCCGGCTTGAAGCCATGCGGCGAACCGACGTGCTAGTTCAAATCTGCACTGGTGTCGCTGGTTCATCAGTGTCCGTGCGGGCGACCCATGCACGCGTTGTGTGGTCGGGGCATCGGAGAGGAAGGCCACGGACAGCAGAGAGAGTGCTCGTTTTGACCTTTGGGAGGCGCGGTGTCCTCTTGGTCGCTGTGCTTTCCCGACATTTTTGGTCTCTCGCTGTGTTTCTGCGCAACCTACATTTTCCTAGTGTCGTTTTACAACCTTCGATATTTCCCAGGTGCGGTAGCGAGATCTTGGGCAAGATATTCACGGGGAGGACAACGTCTAAAAAATAAAATAAAGCAAATAATTAAGCCCATATCAACACCACCAGCGCACTAACGTCGTGTACATGTACGATGCGTAGTAGGTCGTAGAACACCATCATCATCATCGCTTTCAGCGTTTTGGTGGTACAGTGCGGGGAATTCAAACGATGGTATTCAAGTATGTGTTGCAGCACAATAGCAGCAGTGGTTGCGACCTTCAAATCACCCTGTGTCGTAGGTTTCAAACAACACCTCTTGTGGTCGCCTTCTTCTGCTGCGAATGCGCACCTTTTGACCTATGTTTCGCCTTCATTGGCCCCTGGGATGGTGCGTTGTTAGTGGCCCCGGAATTTTAGAGACGCTTCCCCGCGTTAAAGACACCTTTTGGGGGGGAAAACGTGGTGTGTCTTTAAAGCGGGGTCGACCGTAGTGCCGACGCGGGATTTCGCAAAGGTTTTGCATGTACAAGTGAGAAGGTGCGGTCGGAGGTGGGTGGATGGAATCGATACTCTTGCCGTTTTACTCGTTATCACCGTGTCTCGGTTCAGATGTACGGGTGTACAAAATCTGCTTGGTTCTAGACTAAATGCGGGGGCCCGAGCACCCAGTCCCTCCGCAAAAAAAACGACGCAAATAGGTTTGTCAGCCGTTGGTCGAGGGGGTACACTCCCTCCAAAGAATCCGAGCTCCTTGAGAGACAAAAAGGTTGACTCGGTTTCAGTATCAAAAGTGTCCCCAAAACACGTGGAGACACTTTTCAACATTTTTTTCCAGTGCAAGGCGATGTCCATTTTTACGACCTCGGGGGCGCGCGGGTTGGGAGATGTGTACAGACAGCAAGTCAGAGGCCCAGAAGAGGCACCACACAGCAAATCACACAGCGTTCCACCTCAGCCAAGCATGATTGACCAAGGGTTCTCACGTGCGTTGCACACAGCGGAGCCTGGGGTGACCACAGTGCGGGAAAAATAGGCATTTGGGTGCTGTGTCCCAAAAGTGTCCCCATTTGGGCTTCCAGGGTAAGGATGCTAGCCGAGGTGCCAGCTACACCGCGTGACGAATAACAACGTTCAAAAGAACGCTCTCTCCGCTGTCTAGTTGGCGAGCGAGACTCTTTCACACGAATAACACACGGCAGTCGACGAGTTACCCCTGCAGCTAGTATTGTTCCAAGGTGGTGGTGGTTTTGTTCTGTCATGTGGAAAGTAGAACTCGTGTGAGTGTTGAAGCGCTGTGTCGTCGTCGTCGCCAAACGATCTCGACGACCCTATCCCGGGATGTGGAACAAGGAATCTTCGTGTATATAGATTCACCCAAACGTTTGCCCAGAATGTTGTTTCCTGGAGTTCTTCAAAACGTAACGTCCGACTTCAAAATTTCAACTTCACTCGCGATACATCTGTCATATGAAAAAGCTCCTACCCGGCAGAAAAGCTGTGACGCTGATTGCATGTAATGGAAACAAAAATGTAGCACGCACTAGCACGGTAACTGCTACTAGAGTAGTAGGCCAAAAAGTCGAGCTTTCACTAATATAATTAGAGACCCAGGAGAAATTTGGTACTGCTGTGACTTCCGCACTGCGGCATGAGTCGCGCGGTATGGTCTAGTGATGTAACACAGGTAAGTCTGTACTTTTAGGGCCGGTAGCGTGCTATATGTACAGAAACCGGGTCGAGAACGTGGCTGTCGATCTCTGTTGTTGTTGTGCTCACATTGAAAACTGAAAACCGTTCCGGTCTCCACTCGTATCTTCTAATGTCTGTACTGGTCCAACTGGCGCGGACGCCTTTCGTGGTCACAAGCCAACTGCCCAAGGGGGGGAGTACACCATTCTAAAAATAAAGATTAGCAAAAATGAAAACAAACACAGCAAGACTTCAACCCGTTCGAGATATAACCACAGTCGAAGGGAATGTGTTGGAGCCTTTGTAAGTGGTGGAGGGATCGACAGTATGAGGAAACACAAATGCAAACACTACCGCAAGTGGCCACCACGTCCAACCGGTACCAGTTGCACCGCATTTACACCTGCGGCTGCAGTAGTGAAGATTGAACAACGGACGATGGGAGCATCTTTACAAGTCAGACATACTATTCCGCATGATATTTAAGTACACACATTCGGGGGAAGACAGCCAACCTCTAGTGTTGGCGAAGTTGCGAACCGGAATGGCCGTGAACCATGAACATATTTTTTTTTCTTCAAAAATGCGGCGCAATTAGACGCAGTGAAACCGCCTCTAGGCCCCAAATATGTGGATAAACACCGAAGGCAGAACACCCCGCCGCGAAAACAAGCTGTCCCTAACCTGCCTACTGTGGCTGGTCCAACCAGGCGAAGGGAGCAATGGACGATAAGGAAAGTCTTGGACAAATATCCGCTGCTGTCGGGCGCGTCTGTCTGCGGTTCAAGAGCGGACCCAACGCGCCGTCGCCGCAAGGGCAAGTTTTTGCTAGATGCACTTTCGTCGGCCGAGGCGAACCATTCTTCGTACCAACGCCGCTCGCCGCCGACGGTCAGGCACCTCCGGTGGTAGACAAAGCCACTGGATCACCGCAAACGCTGCTATCATCGGTGCACTCGGAGCCTGTCGACATCACCGAAGCCGTTAACTCGCAGATCGAACAAGACGGAGACATTGTTGGCAATGATAACGTGCCTACCACTAAGGTTGTTGTAGCTGACCTGGGCTTCAGCTTGGACACAGCAAAGTTTGAATTGGTGGAAGATGCCCTGTCTAAGCTCGATGCTACCGTTATCAAAATCGAGTTGTGCCTTCGCCACGGAGGCACCTGTGGCGGCGGTAGTACCGGGGCCGAGGAAGAGACCGCGGTCATCGGGACGGCCTCCGTTCGAGTGACCGCCATCCTTCGTGGCGAGAACGAGTGGACGAACGAACTGGCCCTGGGCACATACACCGCTTCGCCACCGCCCGATGCAGAAAAATTGAAGGAGGTTGTGGCGGAAGAGAGTAAGGAACCGGGCTTGATAGACGATGCAGCAATACACGATGCATCATCCGGGCTGCTCGAGTTTGGAGGCTCTACCTCGACAATACGAGTGACGCTGTTGGCCAACGACGACACGGCTGACTACACAGTCGGAGCCGGTTCTCTGTGGATAGATGGAGCCGAAGTAACTGGCGTGCCAGAGAGTTGGAAAATGTTGCCTCCTCGAGACACCGAGCACCCCACCTGGAACGATGCCATCGCCAAGGCACTATCAGGTAAAACGTGACGCCGTTGGTTACCTGTTCCGCTTGGGCACCCTTGTTGGATATCGCGATACCTTCCACTAGGGTCGCAAGGAGAGCACGCCCCCTATGTAGAGGGCTCTGCGTACGAACGTATGCACGTACGGGCTCGCTTGGCGACTGTCCTCCAACGTAGAACGCGGTGGGTGAATACGCCAGGTGTTCAAGGAGCCTCTTTAGCACTCGGAAGGTGCGATGATGAGATTGATACTAGGTGACACAATATGTATTGTAGCCACTGCGTGTTGGGTCTGTTTACGACAGGGTCTCGAGGATGCTGCTGACGTGTGCAATCGCTATAAAGCGGACGACCAACGTAACACCACGAGGTTCTTCTACGAAATGAACAGCGGGGAGAGTCTACGGTCCAAAATCTTGGGGACAAATTTGGCAACGACCGCGTCATGACGTAAGAGGGGCAGCTTCGCTTTTTGCAAGTTGCGCATACCCTCGGCACTGTTCTCCCTAGCCCAGCCGCTGTTTTCCGTGTATCTATGCTTCAGCCGGATACCATGTTCCACACCAGGTTGCAGCTGTGAAAATTCTTGTGGGATCGTAAAGCACATGACCCACGCGTACTCTCCCTATCAACATCCCAATCACAGGTCAACCACGGCACGAGTTTTCCATCTGGTGGGGTGCAGACCCAGTCGGAGCACCAGGGGACAACCTGGAAGACGAGGAAACCGTCAAGGAATTCCCAGCCATGAGACTCGACGGGGGGGTTTTGAGGTGGGCGGACACGTTTTCAGTGTAGTTCAAAGGAGCGTAAGCCGATAGGCGCTTGACTCGGCTTCAGCAGACATGCTGAAAGAGTTGCATATAGCCCTGTTGACACTTGCATGGCGTGTACGTTTTTTTTGTCTGACAATGACCGATGTTAGACGCTGCTCTACAGGACAACGCGCGATTGAGTCATTTTTCATCAACATGTGTTCTAATGTAAGATTGTTCCACATGGAATTCGGCGCGTTTCAGGCTCTCACGATGTATGGGGCGACTATGATCAGCACATGCTTGGCAAAAGCAATAAAAAAGGGTTGAATACCCATCTGGACCCTTTTCTGTAAGCATGCCGTTGAGAGGGAGGCATCCCGCTTGTACAGAAACCTTCGTGGACATCGGTTCTACCGTTTGTGGCAACAACAGACGTGTCGTCTCACATGCCCGTTCCCGGTGCTCCGTGTCCGTACGCTCTTGCTCGCTCCTCAGCTACGTTCCTGACGAGGAGTCGGTCAACGTGGACTCCGTCGCAAGTGATTCGGCGGCGGATGAGGGAAGTCAAGGCCAAGCGTCCTCTCCTGCCCCTGGGAACGGAGGTGGAGCAGGCAGTACCACAAACACCGACGAAAACCCTACCCCTGCGGTCCCGCGCGACCCGCCCACAGGAACGTGGTCCGTTCTGTTCCCGTCCTTCCAGACAAAGAGCTCGTTCTTGCACCGGACATCGATTCGGGAGCTTCGGGAGGCCCTCACTACACCGTGCGGAGGTGGGGATCCCGAAAAAAATCTTCCTGCGACTAAGAGCAAGCTGCACGTGATTCTAGAGCGCCGGGAGATCCGGCCGGAACCCTCGGCGGACGAAGGAAAGGCGGGCGGCAAGGGGGGAAAGAAGGGCGGCGGCAAAAAGCAGGCGGCAGGCAAGAAAGGGGAAGCCGCCGAGAACCCTCCGCCCCCCGCCGAATCCCCGTGGCGATGCCGAGCGGTCATCGATCTGGCTCCTTTGGCCCGACCAGCAGCAGTCATGTCGCATCCGGCGGTCGCGTCGGGCAGTCTTGTAGATTCCGACGCGGGGGACTCTCCGCTTCGCGCCGAGCTCCGGGCGACGTTGGCTCTTGCACCACCGCCAGCACAAGACGCACCAATAGAAGCTACCGCGGATGACGCGGCTGGGAAGAAAGTGGAAGAAGCGACGGCTCCAGCTGTGGCTCCTGCTGCCGAAGAAGTCAAGGTAAGGGACAATCGGACAGGGGTAATCTGGGCATTGCGACAGAAGGAGGAAGGGAAATGTGGGCGCAGCCATAGATTTACTAGAGGTGTTGGTAGGTGTGGAAAGCTGCGGGAAGGAGCAGACTCGCGGGAAGCACGATCTGGAATCCGGCAAGCTCACCTACTTGAGGTCGCCCAATTTCACGCGACTTGGAGTACAATAGAACACCGTCACTCTCTGGTTTAGATTGAGATGAGACTGAGCTTGCGGCAGTCGAAACGCTTGACGCGCCCAATCCCCACAACCAATGCCTTGCCTTGGTCGCTCCGGATGTATTATGTGCCGTACAATAACGGTGATGACGCTTGACTGACCCTGAACTTGTCGGTGACCTCCCTCTCTGATTCCGATACAACCTATTTCAGCTCGATAAAAGCCCCGGAGAACCAAGCGACAAAGCCGTCCTCAGTGAGGAGGAAAGCCGGAGTAAGCAGGTGCATGTTCCTCTTGTTTGGCTTTAAAATCGTGGCTTCGAAGGCGTGCGTGGGCATGCAAGTGGGTCCTTGAAACAGATCCACCCGGCAACATTCCTCAGAACACTCAACGGTGGAACGAGAGCACGTGACCGTTGTGTCCCCTGACTCGCCCCACCCCCCGTTGCCTGCGCTATGCACGGCAATTCATCGCACTTGCCATGCTTGTTGAAAATCGGGTATCAAGTCCAGCAGAGTGTGCTAAGGCAAGGCACAAGTGGACTACCGTTGTATCAAAGCAAGAGCAAGCGCCTGTTATACGATTGCACATTTGTGTAAAGGGCGCCCGAAGCATCGCCCCCAACACATCTTCCCCTGCTCTGACCCCATGGAGTCCCTTCCCCCGCACGTCACTTTCGGCTGCCGCCCTCCTACCGTAGATGAAAGCCGCCGATACAGCGCTATTCTTGACCTTCGCGCTATCGAGGCCGCTCATGAGGGCAACCGCACGGCAGGATACAACCGCGTCAGTGGGCGACGTGTTTGTCCCCAGCGACGTTGGTCCCCGGTACGTGCTTGTGAGTGGCATGTCCTCGAAGTTGCCTCACGTCTGCAAAGACTTACGGCGATTCTATTGCATTCATAGTGACAGACCCTGCATCATACCGAAAACGAATTCATCTTACAAGTGGTGGCCAAGGCATGCTTTTCTCTCTCGACTCCCTCGAACCTTGACCGTGTCGAGCCAGTGAAGTCTTGGGCTCGCGGGGTGTTGAAGCAGCAGCCACCTTAGCACACATACAGCTTGTTCAGGGTAGCGGTTAAAACGCAACGCTTGAGGCTCTTACCATGAAAATGGCTTGCCATTGAGGAGATCTGAGGGTCAGGCCATCCTTGGGGTCTCGATTTGCGGAATTACAACTTGCACGCAGCGCTTCAATACCATCCCAACCGAAAACCATAAGTAATGCCGCTTGTTTGAGTGAACCTAGACGACACTGGCCGGGCGCATTTTTGCCCCACGTAGTACCGGGGTTGAAAATTGTGTTTTTTGTCATCCCCACTTAGATTGTTGATTGCCGGCGAGTAATTATTCCCAGGGTAGCCCTGAACTCAAGGTCACCGATTTATTTAGTCGCCTTTTGTTTTTCTTTTCGTTTCAAAGACGGTAATCCGATGGGCGATTTACTCCGATTCTGTCTCGCAAATCAGAACAATTGGTCATCAACTGCGAATATCGCGTCTTGCCGCACCGAAAAACAACGCTACAGTCTCAATAAACCAAAGGTACAAGAATAAGAGCTGTTCGTGCCTTTAGTAGCTCGAACCGTCCGCATCTCTCTGTGTGTGCTTCTGCAGCAAGCCACCTCGGGATGTGGACGTGGAGCTGAAACAAGAGCTGGACGAGTTCGTGCAGGTGTCGCTTGAGGAGTACGCCAAGCTGTTTCTGGAACCTGGTGCAGATATGAGACGGGTTAGTCAAATCGACGGTACAACATTCCTTGTTTTTTCATCATGGAGAAAGTATCCACTCTTTGAAATGTGTCTGTGTCCCTATTGTGCCATCGACCGCGCTTCCAGGCTGACCAATGAAAACAACTCAGTTCGAGTTAGGTATGTGAGTGTGTGCTTCGCTGTGCCGGGATGAAACGGCAAAAAGTGAGCCTGATCTTGAGACCTCGGTTGAGCCTCGTTAGTCGGGCCGAGGGCGTGGCACACAACGGCCATGTATCCTCAAACCTGCACAGCCCTTCGCGCCCACGTCGCCACACCAGGAAGACATGCAAGATCTGTCGGCACAGGACCGAGAGAAGCATCTCTTTTACGCGCTCAACTCCGGCGGTCTGTACCACTCCTTCCTGGGGCGTCTTAAGCCACGCGTGCAGAGGGTCGTTCGCAAGAGGTTCGGTGGAATGAAACGAAACCCCACCGGAGTTGTTTTCTTAGCCCCTTCACCTACGTTTTGGTTTGCGTACAATACTTCCCAGTGGTTCTGTTTCGGTACCTGCGTTGTGTTTCCTGGCAGTCCGCCCGAACCTACGCCCCCAATAGTCCAGTCCGGCTGCACTCGTTGAATCATCTGAGGTTAAGAATGACCCTTCGACGCATGGTTCCGGTTCAGGCCGAAAAGTAGAATGTGCAAACAAAACACGCAATAGAAAGTTACAGCGAACTGACTCTTGGGCCCACATTCTTTCATTTCTCAGGTTTGGTGCGGTCCCGGAAGACGCCGCAGAGGCAGACGCTTTCATATCTGACCTGTACGTACACCTTGTCGAGGAGGCGGCCGTGGTGCTCAACCACAGAATAAAGTGAGCCAATCGACACGAACTGCACGACGCATAAGTGCCTGCCTACCCCGTCCGTACGAATCAAGCGTCACCTGGTCATCATGAAGCGCTTGCCGATGGAGTGACGAAACACGGTTAATGTTTCGCGCACATTGCACAGGGAGCGACTTGGCATATTCCTACTTTTCCCCTGCGTAGACCTTTCCCTCCTGGGTGTGGGACTCGGTTTCAAGGGTGAACATGATCTCCTCTACCTGTCCGGTCAGGCCCACCACGCGAGCCGTTACTAGAGGAAACTCATCCGCGAATAGAATTGTCTACCGAAAATTATAGCTGCAGTACACACCCCCCGGCACTCTCCGTCCGGCACACTTGTCATCACAAACAGCCACCAAGAATGAATACATCCACCACCCACCAATAGCCGACCGATGACACACTGCCGAACACTACGATGGCAGGAATGCCGAGACGAAGGCCACTCCGTCGTACATCACGGCCGATGCCGACAAGTCGCTCGAGTTGAAGGTGGAACACCTAGGCATGCTCGCAGATGACGCAGAGGCGCGCGGCGCTCGAGAGGAGGCTGCGGCCAGACACGAAGATCGGATTGAGGCTGCGACGGAAGCGGCAGCGGCGCTTGAAGGTGAAAAAGATCGTGCTCTGCGTACGGTGTTGACTCACACGTGCATATATTCTGCGTAGCTGAGTTCCGTGTAGTCAGACGCTTGGCGTGATCATTACATATCGTCACCAAGTATCTGCTGGTCGATGTTGTTTGGAGGAGAAAAATAACCTACGGTTCAACAGCAACCGATTTCAGGACAACCTGACGCAGAGGCTACAATACACTCCTTCTCACCTCCCCCCCCAAAAAAATCAATGACGCAACACAGAGTGGCGACCACTCCTAGCGCGGTCCTGGGAGAAGTACGCTTTTTTTTCTCTCCGGGGTGGCCGCAGCGGACAGCGTCGGCAACACCCACAAGAGGTAGTGCCCAGTGCAAAGAACGGCAATGTGAGCACGTTAAGGAGCCGCGGTAGCGAGAGCCTAGATCACGCCGCACGGTGCCTGGAAGAATGCCTCCGCGTTTACCTGCCGGGGTCGGACGAATCCCTAGCGGCAGCGTCCGTGCTCGCGGCCGTATCGATGGAGCAAGGACAGCTCGACAGGGCGTGGGCGCTCATGGAGAAGGTGCTTGAACAGCGGCTTCCCATCCTCAAGGAAGGAGCTGATGGGTGAGAGAAGAAGAAAGGTCTTCGTGCTCTCAACACTAATAGTCATGTTCACGAAGGCATTATTTGATATGGTACAATCGCGGCACGCAAGAGATTCCGCCTAGGGCGGAGGGGGGCACGCGCTTGGGCGGATGTCGTAGTGTGTACTCGCTGCCATGTTTCGACCAATGCCATACCACGCGCGAATTGGGTTCCAACTCGAGCGTGATAAAGCGCTATTTCCCGATAGCTTATAATTTCAGCCCGCGGCGGTTGTCCTTTCTTGGCTATCCATCGAAGAAGGAAATAAAATACACGTAGACGCGGCGTGCGCGAAGAACGGCAAGTATCAAGCCAGCAAGTACCGCCGCATGGCCGTGTGTGTGTGTTGTTCTCCCCACGTTCCAGGTATGAGACGGACGATCTAGCGGGTCTTGTCCCGCGACGAGACCATGCCTTGCGCTGCATCCTGAGAGACCTCATGGGCGACGCTTCCGGAGCGCGGCGCAGCCTGTTCTTGGCCGTTCAGTCGTCGAAGAGAGAAGGCGAGTGCGTACCACAGAAGGTGGCGGCATCAAGTACCGACGACCTCTTAAAACTTTCACGGTATCAGTGATGACAATGAGTCTTGTATCGGGGATGACGTTGTGCCTTCAGTACGTGTCCGACGAATGCTGTGTAGAGTCAGCAAGCACTGTCTACGAGAGTCACTTGCAACGAGGCTGTGGATGACGAAACTTGAGGAGAACAACGGCTTCGCTCGGTTAAATTATTTCGTCTTCTTTTTCTTCCATCCTCGGACAGAGGCTAGGGGTGCCATTGGAGCCATCGTTTCCGACGACGAACCTAGAACACCCCGGCGAACCGCCGTGCGCGTCATGCACGACGCCTGCGCTTGGTTGCTGGAGCTCGGCTTACCGGGGATGGCTCGACGGGCGTTCATCGTGGCTGAGGAGAGCGAGCGGCTCGCGGTCAAGAAGGCGAAGGTGCGGGGCTTGATTCGGTTTCGTGCCCAATACGTTGACCATGGAGCATTGTGGCTGCGCATCCGTTCGACCAACCCTCAGCATTTTTTTGTGATACCGTGTCTCCTGTTTTTCCGTTCTTTTCCGTCGGCCGAGGAGGAGCAAGGGACCTTGTGGGCAAAAGTAACAAAAGGATAGCAGAAGACATCTCCCACAGTGCCAACGTGCTGAATCCCCAGCGGTGTATGTGGCGAAAGGGGTGATTTCTTTGGGAGTAAGAAACGGCACGAGATCTCCCCGAAACCGTGCGTAATGTTGGCGTCAAGAACAGCTAGCGCAGACCCTAGGCCATGGCGTCCAACAAGCAAGGAAGAACTTGAGCACGTTTCTGGAGAAATGTCCCATTCCATGTCATTGGTGTTGCTGGAAGAAGCAGAATATCCTTGCCGACCGTGAGAGTTGCAGCCTAGTCTCCTCCCCTCCTACCTCCGCGCATCTCCTTGATATTTTATGCCATCATCGCCATGCATTTCACTAGCGAATACGTTTCACCGACCTTCGTTTTAAACCAATGTCTCCATCCAACCAGGAACGCGGCCTATCCATCCGGACTCCTACTGCCCTGCGCGAGTCCTGCCGCCGCCTCAAATGCTACCTCATCCTAGCCGACGAAGCCACGGCAGCCGTAGCTGCAGACCGGGACAACAGCAACATTATCGCTTCGACGGTAGTTTCAGGCAAAGCAGGTTCGAGAACGAACGAAGCAGCCCAGGCAGCAGCACCAGCGCCAGCGGCTGCCGGCAAAGCATCCGGTGACGAAAAACAAACAAGCGCATCTGACGGCATGGCGATGGTGCCTGGCGCGGTTGATGCGGAGAGGCTTGCGCAGGAAGCTGTGGAGCTCTCACCGGGAGATCCCCGACCTTGGCAAGCCTTGGCGGAGGCTTGCGATGCCCAAGGTAGAGGAAAATAATCTTTGTTCGGCATGTGGCAACGTGCCAGGAATTGCTTCTTCTACCCCCGCGCTCCCGATTTTCGTGCCCTCTGCCTCATGCTGTTCATCTTTGAGTTAAATGTTTTGCACATCAATATTGAAGCGGAAAGGAGACGTCGCAGGGGACAAACTTGTTCGAAGAGAGGGTTGAAACACCATCACCACCTACCTACAAATTCCCACAACACTAAGTAGCCAACCAAACGATGTTTCAAACCTTTGTCCAACGGCCGTAGGGCTCATCAAAGCCACGGAGGCAGCAGACGCTTGGGCTGCGGTACTCGACCGCACGGAAACAGCGTGGAGGACCTCTCCGGCTAGCGGGGAAGAGGCGACACCTCCAACTCCTGCTCTGCGAGTCTACATGCGGCTAGGGTCGTTATACAACACTCTCGGCAGGATCGAGGAGGCCAAGGTGGGGAAAGGGGCCTACAATTGTTAGGCTCTAGGTGATTCCGTTGCTCCACTCATCAGGTATGCCCGAAATAATAATGAGATTTTCTCAGCCGTTGGGCCCGTCAATTTTGAATACGCCGCCGTTGTTAAGGCGTGCTTTCTTCGGGCTTGCCGAGCGTGGCGGGCTCCGGGTCCATGGCTTGGATGCGGAGCGGCTTGCTTGCGGCTGGAGCAGTGGCAGGAGGCCGAAGATGCCCTGCAGCACGCCTCTCGCCTGGACTGCAACTCGCCACTGGTGTGGGGGCACCTGGCTCTGCTGCTGCTGTCCATGGGAGAGGGCAGGTATGGTTGCTCTGAAACTTGCCTCATTCTCGTGTCTCACGGCTTTGACGCATCGAATCAGATCGGCATCCAAGAGGGAGCTTCATCACGCTTTTCATCAACAGGCGCGCAGGTGTCTTGACCCATTTGTCTTCTGCCGCTGCGATAATACTTCTTACCAATAGAACAGCCCTTGCGCCGAATGTGCCGGAGGTCGTTTTTGTTTTTTTCAGCCCTGCTTAGGTTGACCTTGCACACGGGTAGCTGACGGACATTGTCTTTTTTGTGGACACTTTCACCGAAGTTCACAGGCTCGTCGTTTCTGCAACATTGGAAGTTCTCGTGGTACAAGCAGGTTCCGGATGAACTCTTATCAGGGTCTCAAATCGAAACATCGATGCTGTTGCTGAAGTTGATCCTGACGTTTCGTATCCACCATCTTCTCTGGTTTTGAATATGATTTCCGTCGTATTGAGTGCTTTCACCGACTTTGGGGGGTCTCAGAGGAATCAAGAGTCGACCACATGGACTGGGGGTTGTTATGGTATAGACACGCGTAGCAAGCTCTGAAGACCCTGGTGAAGACTCAGTTGTTGATTCACCTCTTTGGACAGCAGTGCATACGTGTCCTTACTCTCTGTGGTAGACTAAGCATGCATGTAGGGGCTAGAAAGTTTTTGTCCCCTGCTTATCCTCCAACCGGGAGTTATGTTTCCCGGACTTTCTTCTGGGCATTAGCCCGCACTTCCGTTGGTAATTTCGTACATATTCAAAACCCATAACAGATTCCTGTGACCCGTATGAACGACGAAACAAAACAAGGACGAGACCTCAATCCTATCCAGTTTACACAGTTAGAAATCCCAGGCTGCACGATGTACTTGATGGGTTTCAAATTCACACGTTCGGGATGCTCCAAAAACTCAAGAATTTGTGGCAGTACTGCACACGATTCGGGCGTTGCCTCTGAATGCGCAATGGTCCACCACTATATCGTATTTTTTCGGAATTTGTTGCAAAAGCTTCGCGGGAAATGGACCAAAACCGCGATCGGTGACGGTGTGTACGTAGTGCATGTAAGAATGCTCAACTTCGAGACATTTGGTTCCTGCTGAACGTGTAGACTATATCATGTGATGTATCCACGTTTTTCCCATGAAGCAACCTTACTTGCCGCCAAGTTCGAAGATGGGTTTAGGTTTTGAGAAATAGAGTTCCAAGGAATAACGTGGTTCTCTGGGGTTCTCCAAATTAAGACAATTTGGATGACGCCGCCACCGTCCATGGTGAAAAAACAGTGTGGTTCTTTCACAAGGTTCCCCTCCGGAGAGGGATTGCTTGTGATATTGGCAAAGGGGCGATGCAACGTGTAGCTAAGAAAACCGAGAGATCATGCGATACATACGCGCGCTGCAAATCGGAGACACAGTTGGGGTCACATCGGATGGAAATGTTGAAATTAACTCCACCAAATTATTTCCAATCCTTCTTTGTGCGCGAGTTTTGGTACGGTGAAGGCCGCCATACGATGTCAAATGAAATGTCGAGAGACTGCATGGAGAGTACGTGGTGGTGGGTGACTAGTATCAAAGAAATGTTAACGGCCAAGTCGAGCTTGAACTGACCATCTTCCCACACTGTGGGCCCAGTTCAATTTAACATACAATACCTACTTCCCCCCGCAGGCTCCAGGAAGCCGACCGAGCGCTGTCACAAGCTCTCTGCCTGGGCCTCGCCGACTCGTCCCTTCTACGCGAGATAGGCAACTGCTACGTCGCCGTTGGCCGGTTAGATGCGGCAGAGGAAGCTCTGCGAAAGTCCCTGGCTGCCGATGTTAATAGCCATGGCAACAATGGCAACCCGCATACACGTAGATGCTTAGGCGACGTTCTCTCTGCCAGGAACTCTACGAGCCAGGTTCGTGAAACCTAGTTGCTTCCAAGTGTATGTGGTACAATACCCTCCTTGCCTTCACGCTTTGTTGGTCCAGAACAGTGATCTTGCTCATCAGACACACTACTGCCTCTTTCCGGAACTAGGTCGCGAAGCAACAATCTTCGTCGGACAATAGTTGGCACTATCCCTTTCCCAAAGTGGCAAGCTCCCAAAGCATCAATCAATGTTGGTAACTGACGATTGGTCGACATCCTGTCCCTGCCAGGCCGTGGAGGAGTATCGGCGAGTGCTTGAATCTCCATCCGCCGACGTGAACGATTCTGAACGGGAGGAAGTCTTGACGCGTTGTGGGAATCTCCTTCGCAAGATGGGGAGGGGCGACGAGATCGACCAGCTTCACCAGGAAGCGTTGTTCTCACGGCAGCAGCAACTCTTGGCATGATTGATTTGTGTGCCCCGGCCGTTATTTTGCTGCAGCGCAGAATCCGATGGAGTCCACTGACTTGAGATTCGTACAGTCTATCAGTACCTGTACGCGTCTCGTGGCCGGTAGGCATTTATTCCCATGGTGGAGAACATGTCACAGTGCCTTGCCAGGAGTGTCTTACCAGGTAAATACTCAAATGTACCCCGGATTCGGTGGGATATCGTGTGTGGAAACCAGTGGTTCAGGGTTCACAAGATTCGCCAGGGAGGCTGCAGTAGCAAACTTGGGGCGACAAAAAGCATCAGAGATGGAGAGTACGGACAACTCAATCCCTGACAACCGACAATCTGAAGTTTTGCGTTGCTGCTTGCACAGCCGTCCTTGTCAAAGGGTCGAAGGAAACGATGCTTACCAACTGTGGCAGGTGGCTGCCTGCGTTGGCAGGGAAATGGTGTTGCGCTTCGCTCAACTAATCGTCAGAAGCATGATATCTATGATAGATGCTCGAAAATCAGATCGGTCCTCGAATTTACAGGAAGCATGGAACGAACTGTTGAACCCCTTCCAGGAGTACCAGGTACCACGAACACACCCTCTGCGCCCTCTTTGGGAGAAATACAGCGACAATACCAAACCACCCTCGGCGAGTGGGTAGCAGCAGCGCTGCGCCACGCACGTAGATATCTTGACCTACGTCACCACCAGGCCCGGCGTGAGCAATTTTTCGCCGCATATACCGAACGGCTGCAACGTCAAGGGGAACAACCCACGTGTCCCTCTGAAACCTAAAACAATAATACGGCGTCCTCTCGATCCAAGACCGCCTCATGGGCAACCAGTCCTGTCACAACACCAGGCATTCACCGATATATATCTTTGCACAAAAAAGACCCGGAGGAGACGCCTGCTTCTCTAACCAAATCTTCTTGGATGTCACCGTCGTTCTATCCAGAAGCACCACACCCAAATACATCGAGACATGAAGCTCCGATCAATCATGCCCCCCTTGCCCGGGAAGCAGCAGGCAGCAGCAGCAGCAACCGTGGAAAGAAATGTGAGAGCGAACGGGACCGAGAAGCGCGCAAAAGAGAAGCAGTAACCGCCTTAGCGGTACTCGGGCGGGAGTGGCAAAGCTACTCTACATCGCAATAAGAGAGTGGGGTGAGATCCTACTCGGTGACGTTCCGTTACCAGGTGCAGCCTGCCGCGCCACAGACGAACAGGACAACGCTCATCGCAAACAGTCACACGAGGGTCTGGGTGGAAAAATACAGTACAACCTGGCTAGAAAGGCTTTGGTCGGTGACCGGGAGGCCACACGCACGCTGCACGAATGACGGAAGGGGCGTTGGTTCTCTCGCGTTAGTGCTTCGTGGACGTTGTGGGCGTTGCGTCCGATTTACAACGCATGGTCGATGGTCCCGGGCGTCCGTGCCGGACTACTATTCCTTGGGTGCCGGAACTATTGAGGCGGACGCTACACCCCCTTGTCACTCACTCTTCGACCTTCTTGAAGTCTCCCATCTTGGTCGTTGCCACGGGGGTTCCGAAGAACCGGAGGCTCGACAAGCAGCTATGCTCCGCGCCGTTGTTGTCCGCGACGAAAATCTAACGAAAACAAGCGCGAAAACAACAACTGTCGTAAAATAAGGCTGAATGCGCCAAAACGTGGTGTGGAAAGCAGCATGCACCTGCATGGCCGACTATGGCCCGATGCGGGGTGAAGCGTTGGCTACATAGAAGTAGTTCAAGTTTAAGTCTTAAGGGAAAAGGAGCCATCCACTTAAACCTACCACGCTGCACAACGTAGCAGACGTGCCAGTGGTCATGGAGCACCTGGAGCACATGTACAAACGACAGTTCATGGGAGTGGAGCGAAACGTCTTGTAGCTATGGGTATATTTCGAACACTTGGGAGATACCCGTAAAGCTGAAACTCACCGAAAGGCCGGAGACCCTTTGAAACTTAACGAACTTCAACACAGACGCTGAACCGGCCACCAAATCTTCCTTCGTCAGCTCCAACGTTTGCGCGGGCGCCATGTCGTCCGTGTCGCTGAATCCCATGCTATTCCGGTTAAGATAGAGTTTCACCGTCAATGGAGCCGTGTCTTGATTGGTGGGCCGACGGAATGATCAGGTACAGAGAAGAGGGATGGAATGGGGTGGGAGTCAGGCCTCTGGGCCGTAAGGGTTGCAGTCAGGATAAATCGTGCCCTGGTGTTTGATCGTAATGCACTCAAACCTTACAAACTATGGGAGCGGTGAGGTAACAAACTTTTCGAAACTCTTTCGTGAACAACCTCCAAACGCACCACGGACAATCAGCGGCCCAGAAAACACAAGACCAATGCCACGATTCCTCCATCAATGACAATATTTTCAACAATCATGTACGGCGCTTTGGAAAGACAATAAATAGCGCGGCTGGGCGTTGCTACGGTATATTACAGGTGTGTTTGGCTCGCCAAGCAACTCACCGTCCGGAGGGGCGACGAAATCTATCGAGTGTAGCTTCACAGTCTCCATGAAGCCCACATGCAAGAGCAATTGCTCTTTTTGCGTGTGAAGGGGTGATGCACCGGAACCCCAGGATATCAAAAGACGGGGAGCCCCCCACCCCAGCAATTCAGGTTACCGGAGATGCACCGCCAGTCACCAGAAAAGCCGAAGGAACAATGTTGCAACGGCGGAAAAACATCAGGTTGGAACATGCACCACAGATGAGGGTAGAACGGGAATAACCAGCGTCAAAATCGCATGAACGAATCAAAACGGGCATGGGACACAGAGACCCCCGGCGATGTGAGGCTTCCTGAAACACCACAAACTCTCCCTGCACTATCCAACAGCTGACCCGTCCTTGTTCGTTGCCTTGACGATTCTACCACAGGCTCGTCGCATCGTGCGGAACAGATTGCAGGCCGAAAGAGACAACTATGCGAAGTACACAATAGTCATGTGTACTCCAAAGCTATGCGGACATAAACCAAAAGATGGCACGCAATTCTTACCATCGGCGTCTGACTGAAGCATCAGCCGGTCATCCTCCTGGAAGAGGTTTTCCCATGTTGCTCCCGACAGTTGATTGAGACAGTAACAATCGGCCCTGCGCAACAGAAATCAGCGCAAGACAACACGGTTTTTCATACAGGAGTTCAGGTTTTGATTAGGGTCTTTTTGATAATGCGTAAGGAAAACGGAAGTGCTGCGTATGTCATATCGTGCGGTGGTATTGGCCTTGTGAAGATGCCTGTATCGTACAGAACATCCTTGACCGCAATCCGCTTTTTCCTCGGCTTTTCTCTTCAAGAACAACGGGAAGGTTTAAAGACTTACAGTTAGGGGGGAGCCATATCCACCCCTTAGTCACACATTAAAATTACTCACTGATGGGTCTCGGTGATGGAAAGGAAAGTTTCCGAGCGTACCACAGGGGCAGGGGCATGGCTGATTGCGCTGTCTCGTCATGTACCCACTGCTGCATGCACCCAAAGCTTCAGACATAATCAGGACGCCATGTCCGGGTGCCCACGCCATGTGATTCCCCCCGCTGATCGAGAGTTGGTTGGCGTTACGGTGAGTGCTCAATAGGTGTTTGTTGCACCAAACCAGGCATCCGATGCGATAAATGAGCGAATGAGTCCAGCAGGCGGCGAGAGGCTATTGCTCCCACTTGCGTCGTACCAGGTTGCTACTCGCACACTGCTGTACGAGGCGGTACACGTTTACGGTCCAAGCGTTGCTCGCAAAACGTCATGTTGGTTTCATTCGGTGAAGTGGAAAAGAAAGAGCTCGTGCCCCTCCGTTGCCCCGTCAAGGGTCTCACAATTGAGCACCAGGTCATAAACTATGGCCGACAATCACTCGGACATACATCTGCTGCCTCCTTAGCAGTGGTGCGGCAAGAAGCAGTCGTGCGGCATGGAGCCGCTCTAATCTGAGATTACTCACTTGCACACAAGGTCCGTGATGTCCCGTACTTCCAGATCGCTCGCCTTCGGGGCTGCTGCTCCCGCCGCAGCGGCACCCGCTCTGGATCAGAGACAGTGATCAACGGACGGAGAGCGAAAATCCTACAGTGGGCACAGCAGCAGCGTAAGCCTGGTTCGACGAGGTCGATGGGGTGCGCCGTCTTCGTACCTACATCCAGTGTTCCTGGAAGTTCATCGTTGCAAAACTCTCCTAACTGACAGTCTGCGCCGTCTACTTGCTTGTTCTGGTAGCTGCTGTTTGTAACCACCCACCCTGCAGACATCATTTTCTGGTTCGGCTGAGTTGGGAGGCTCGGTAATCTCCTGAGGGCGGCTGCTGGCTATGTCGGCGTGGCGGTAGAGGCCAAGACAGCTGGCCAAGACCGTCAAGGCTGTGGCCCGGGGGGTCGACAGAAAGTCCTTTAGGATAACCTGACGGGTCCCCCGAAGAACCCAGCAACATTATGAGTTCGTGAGGCGTTGTGGACATGAAACCGTCTCTGTACAAGTCTATAATTGTCTGTGAAACTGACATAGCGCGTTACTTCGATGAGATGCTCTCATTCGATGACCTTCACAGACTGAAACATTAGCTACTTCCTCTCACAGGGTATTGCGTCGAACGTCACGTTGTCTGTAACTAACTACAGATCGGCACATCTTGACGATACCATTCGAACTTTGGAAACGCTATGTTTGTCATGTTTTTTTTCAACTCTGTAGACTAGGTATTCTCCTTGTGTACCCGCACACGAGCGGATAACTCTTCGCAGCACCTGATAGCTAGCAGACACCCCAGTTGTCACAAGATGCCGATCCGACAAGAATAGACAAATGAACGTGCTTCTTTCAACAATTCGTTTCGGAAATGTGTCACGTTGGCGCAGACCAAATAACCACACTTTTGACAACCGGACTATCTATGTAGTAGTAGGTGTAGACTTTACGGCCCACACAGGTGGCCAGTGGGCACGGTTACGGGGGGGGTTAACTGACCTGTAACCCCTAGGCGTTGTGCAACCTGCGTAACCCGGTCGGGCGCACCGTTGCCAACCTCCAAGGTCAGGCAGGGTTCAGAAACGTCGGCCCAAACCCAGTTAAGGGACATTTGTAATAGTTGTTTTTTGAAGAGAAGTGGCCCGATAGGGACGCTTTTTGTATTAAAAAAAAAGTCGTTTAGAGGGGGGGGCAAAACGGGCTCAAGAATGTCCGTCTGTCTGTCTGTCTGTGACCAGCCTCGATATATTACCCAGCAGATTCCAGCCCATTTCACCATCTCGGTACCAAATTGCAATCTAAGACGTGTTCACAACAAGTAATATTTTGCCCGAGCTGCCCCAACTGCTACCTTTTCAATCCGTGCTCGGTGCGTCGAGAGAGTGCAGCGTCGGTACCCAACTTGAAGAAGGGAAGTTTCTGGCCCCTTGCAACACCGAGAGGAGGCGTCGTTTGATTTTAAACCAAGACGTATAGCCTCGCACACCACACACCACACACCACACACACAGAGCCAGACATGGACAAACAGGGAGGGGGAGACACAGACCATAGCGAGGGCGAGACGGCGGAAGAAGGGTGTGCAATACACTGCTGCTGATAGATATCGGCGGAGGAAGCGAGAGGAGAGATCAACATTTGGTTGCAGCAGCAGCAGCTGCAGTAGCGGCCTCTCTCTCTCTCTTTCCGCGGAGAGGGGCACATGACACCAACAACACACAGACGCTGCTACCCACCACCATTGATTGGTGCGACATGTACTGCTGTACGCCTCTTTACACTATTGTGCGCGAAGGCCTAGTGTGCGACCAGTGCCTCCTGTAAAGGAAATGCACGCGCAGTGCAATCTGGGAGACCCGTGAAGACCAACTCACTTGTTATTAACTCGTGTGGAACAGCAGTAGCTGTTGCCAAGGGAAGGTAGAGGACTGACTAGGATGGGGCCAGGATCAGCTGCTAAAGCAGGGGCTACTAGATCCTGTCCCCTGTTTTTGTCGTTCCGTGGGGAGTTGCATCTCCCGCACTGTTCTCTGGGCATTACCCCCGCACTACCGTTTGTACTTTCCTACACATTCAAATACCATAACACTAGCCCACCCTGGAGGTTCTCATACGCAGATACTAAATCTCGGAAAATGAGAGTATTGAGGATGCGGAGCTCCAAAATACCACAATTTACCCTCCCACACCTCTCACTCGATGGGTCGCAAGACCATCGTTTGACCTGTAAAAAGAAGATACAGGAAGTAATAAACTGGGGCTAACAGAGAGGAAACCAACGGGAGAGCCGCAACAGGCGAAGGTTCTGAGTCCAAAGTAGCCCGACTGATGAAGACAATTGGGCAAATGGAACCATCTGGCTGTTCTTGTTCGAGAGTCCCACCAAACCCATCGCGACTAGCATCACAGTAAAGATGAGAAGGTCGCGAGCCGTCTGAAACAGCATCCTAATCTGGAAAAACCAAAACAGGGGGATTGGCCAACTCAGCTGATAAAACGCGAACGGCTTGCTTCATGGAAGGGGTGAAGATAAACTTCTCCTGCTTCTTGATTAGAGTAGTCAGAGGGCGAATGCGTTTAGCCATGTTGGGGAGGAACTTACGGTAGTAACTGAGACCACCGAGAAGGGAGCGTGTTGCTTGACATCCCTGGGCATAGGCATCTTGGTGAGGGCCGAAACCTTGGCAACGTTAGGCCTAACGCCGTCAGGGGTGATGGTGTGTCCGAGGAAGTCCGCTTCAGTAGTGCCAGTAGTAGCTTCCAAAGGCGTGAGTTTCAAGTTGTGCGTACGCAAGCGTTCAAAGAGTGCGCGCATGGTACCAACATGAGTAGCAGGGGTGTCATCAACGACGGTTAAATCATCCAAGTACGATGCAACGCCGCGGAGATTTTCGATGACTTCATTGACAACTTTGCAAAACCACCCAGGGGCAGCCGAACTGCCTTGAGGCATCTTCAACCACTCGAAAAGCCCGGAAGACGTCACGAACGCCGTCAACGGGATTGTATCGCGGTGCACCGTGATTTGGTGGAACGAAGATTTCATGTCGAAAAGGGAATAAATTCGCCCTTTCAAGAACTTGTCCAAAGTACCATCGACTCGAGGAATCGGAAGCTGACTCAAAGCACAAAGCTTGTTGAGCTTACGATGATTGACGGTGATGCGAACACCACCAGATTTCTTCGGTATGACTACCAAAGGGCTCGAGTAAGGCGAGGTCGAATGTTGGATCAAACCTGCCGCAAGATATTGGTCAAGGATCGCGTCAACTTATTCGCCACCGGGGGATTGACGCGGTAGGGGCGAGGCGTGACGGGTGCGCTGCCAGGAGGAACGGTAAGCTTAAAAGGAAAAAGCGAACAAGATCCAAAGTCGATCGGAGAACTCGAAAACACATCATGGTATTCGCACAAAACGTTACCAAGCTGAGTAATGACATCGGGAACCGGGCCGTGGAGATCAAGAGTAATCTCACGGAGATGGCAGGGGAGCTATTCCCAGACTTGGGAGAAACTTTGACGCTTTTCTGGCGTCAACCGCTCGAGAAGAGCAGGCGAAGGCGACGAAGAAGGAGAACTGGCGGAACCAAAGTCCCCTCGGTCGCTTGGCGACGGGATGGGTCGCTCGTGTAAATTATACACAAAGGGGTCAGATACGGTGTGCGTGGCAGACGAATCAATGCCACCCGCAGAAACAGGACCAGGGACCCAGCTGTCTGAAGCAGCGGTGGATTCTGAAGCCGCAGTTTCAAGACCATCGCTCAAACTGTTGCGAGAAACAGCGCTAAGAGGCACGCGAAGAAGGGGAGCCGAAGCTGTACCCAGGACGTCGCCGGGTTCGAGAGACGAGATGCCCGCAAGAGGGATTCGTTGGCAACCATTTTGCACAAAATGTTCCTCGGAAGAAAACATAGCACATTGGGGGAGCATATCCACTAAATAGTTACCCACAAGGGTAGGCGAGCCATCATTGCGTACCAAATTGACCTGAATGAGGCTATGCTCTGAGTGAAGTTGAACGGAATGTTTGCCTGCATAGCAAAGTTGGTAACTTCCATATGTTGGGGACAGATCGTGAACAAATGCAGTGGCACCACAAGTGTCATGTTGGGCTAAAGTAAGCTCACCNCTAAATAGTTACCCACAAGGGTAGGCGAGCCATCATTGCGTACCAAATTGACCTGAATGAGGCTATGCTCTGAGTGAAGTTGAACGGAATGTTTGCCTGCATAGCAAAGTTGGTAACTTCCATATGTTGGGGACAGATCGTGAACAAATGCAGTGGCACCACAAGTGTCATGTTGGGCTAAAGTAAGCTCACCAAAGACACGGTCACCAGGACATTTCACGCAAAGGGCGGTAAGAACGGTCACTAAATCGCATCCAACTATCTCTGCCGAGGAGCAAGTCATGATGTATGACGCCGTCAGGAACAACGTATGCCCAAACTGCAAGAGAGGAAGTAGGAAGGTTCTTACGGAGAAACTGAACACTCAAACGGACAATGGTCGAAGTTTGGAGCGGGGCAGATTTCCCAAAACCACCCCAACAGCGAGGTTGGGTGTGTTTTTCAGACAACGTCGAAGCAGTTGAAGCCGCTTTCATGGATTCCCATGCAGAAGCACTAATAGAAGACTGCGGAGAACCCGTATCCAAAAGAGCGATACACCCAAACTGCACAGAGGCCGAACCGCGCTGTGGAGGAGTATTCTGGTGGTGAAAGAGTCGTCATCGATGGTGACAACACCACCAACCAAATCCGGACCTTGCTCTGGGAGCGAGGAGGAGGACGACGGGATGTATTCTGAAGACACGGCCCAAACGGCGGTGTCGTGATCCGACGGGACGTTCGGAGCGTGTTGCGAAAATGACGCGAACCGGTCGGTCGATGGAGGGCACGAAGCCGTCCGAAGGCGCTGGTGTGTGGAAGGGTTAACTTCATACACCACAGATTGAAGGGACGGCGTCGGAACGTGGTCGGTCGGAGGCAGCAAACGAAAGCTGCGCTCGGGAGGCGGGGCACCGTGTCGTAAAAGACTGCGTACGTTCTGTAGGACGATGCCTAGCAGGTTGAGGCCGCGCCATCTAGATGTGCATTCAGCGTCAGGATGATCGGCCTGGAGACCAATGCCCCAAACACGGTCGTAAGGACTGGCTTCGGCAAGGATTTTGTCACCAGATCCGAGGAGATGACTTCGTAACTCGGAATTTTCACTAAAATTTGCGTAAGAGCCGGTGAGCACAATGTTTTCGCGTTCTTGTTCCCAACGAGATTGGTGGAAACTACGGACCTCACGGCCAAACATTTTGTGTAAGGCCGGGTGTGACACTCGCATGATGTTCTGCAAAGCACAGCGATCTCCGAAAAGACGGGCTTTTTCTGCAGCGAAAAAAGTTCGGCACACGAGCAGTCAACGCCATCGACCGTGAAGGTCGACGGTGTCCGTTGGGAAAATGGGGAAGGTTGCTTCCAAAAGAAAACCATGTCTGGAGTACAATACTCGGTAGACGGGTCGAAAACGGCCGAAGCAACAGAGGCCGGAGCGCCCTGAGTGCTGGTAGTCTAAGCTGGAGTCGCAGCCGAAGGTGCGGAGTCATGATGAACAGTATGTACATCCATGGGGGGGGTCCTCGTAACAGCGGGAACCGACGAAGAATCGACTTGAGTCGGATTGTTCGTAATTGGGCCAGCAACACTGGGCTGGGTGCACCCCAATTCTAAACCTGAAGAAACGCCTCGTAAGATGTTCGGCAACAGGTCGCTTTCGCTGGGAACGGCTGCCAAAGCCGGGTTAGTTGAAGAACTGAACCGAGCATGGCGCTCCTGGCTATTCCCCCGTGACAAGGTACACGAGACCGCCGGCTGTTCGGAGGTTACTTCGGGGACGTCCTCCCGAAGCGGTGGTGTCAACACTGTCGACGTCGGTCGCAGCAGCCTAGGAGTGGGTGCCGTTGTGCGAGCGTGCGTCGGAGAAGGTGGGGCTTGTAAAGACGACCCACGGTCGGATTGTCGCGTGGCGGAATCTGAGGATGTCCGGTGGTCGGAACGAGGGGGACAAGGCGATTCGAAGCCAGACGAATTCGACCCTAAATCTTGCTGGTCGGAACCAGTCAAGTTGGCTATCGGTGCAACAGTCGAAGGCGGACCTTCAACGGAAGCGAGCATAGACGAATTGAGCGTATCCGAAGAAGCACCTGAGGCAATCAATTGGGGAAATTCTTCATCAATCGTCCAAAGGTCATGGCTACTGCCGATCCTATCTGCAGACGACTGGAGGAGCGAACGAGAGGTGCTCGACGAACGAGGAGAACTCTTTGGCCCCGANTGGGGAAATTCTTCATCAATCGTCCAAAGGTCATGGCTACTGCCGATCCTATCTGCAGACGACTGGAGGAGCGAACGAGAGGTGCTCGACGAACGAGGAGAACTCTTTGGCCCCGAAGGTCCAACGGGTCTGTTCCCACACCTCAAGACAGCACTCACGTCAGACTGATTAGTTTCCGACGAAGCAGCAATCCGACGAGGCGAGGGTGCCGAGGTTGCAGACGATATGTGCGATGGCGAAGGTGGGATGTGAGCATTTGGCTGAAGACCGACCTGATCGACACATGAAGAAACAGCGTGTACCCGAGTACCGCTGTCATTGGATAGCACCGAAGTGCGAGAGCGCGTAGGGAGAACATTTACCGAAGTATTGTTGTCGTTGCCTAAGACTGGAGTGCTAGAGGCAACAGAGCGCGTAGGGAGCACATTTACCGAAGTATTGTTGTCGTTGCCTAAGACCGGAGTGCTAGAGGCAACAGAGCGCGTAGGGAGAACATGTACCGAAGTACTGTTGTCGGTGCCTCAGACCGAAGTGCTAGAGGCAACAGAGCGCGTAGGGAGAACATGTACCGAAGTACTGTTGTCGTTGCTTAAGACCGGAGTGATAGAGGCAACTGAGGATGATACACGCGCGTCTTGTATTGAGCGAGACGAAGTTTCCAAAGATGCTGGAGGCGGTCCGAGGGAAGGAGGCGAACCACCGTCGGGNTCAGACCGAAGTGCTAGAGGCAACAGAGCGCGTAGGGAGAACATGTACCGAAGTACTGTTGTCGTTGCTTAAGACCGGAGTGATAGAGGCAACTGAGGATGATACACGCGCGTCTTGTATTGAGCGAGACGAAGTTTCCAAAGATGCTGGAGGCGGTCCGAGGGAAGGAGGCGAACCACCGTCGGGAAATCATCCGGTACGCGAACGGCCGCCATTGTGGAAGTTACCAGGCTGGCGTGAGTTGTGATTGGTCGAAACCATGACGCCAGGCGAGGGACCAGTTTGAGCATGCGATTGGGGTTGATAGACGGACAGAGCACCAGGGTGGTGGGTGTCTGTTGTGTATGATGATGGTTACCCGCGGAATGTCCCGAGGTTTGACCACCGTGGTGTGATTGTTGGTGGTGATTGTCGTCTGCAGGACGTACAGCGTGCTTTCTGGGGTTTGTGTTTGGGCGACTCGAGCCTGCTGCACGCAGCTTTCTTCGCTTTCGTCTCCACACAACTTAGCTTTGCCTCGCTGATCGGTATGTCTCAACTTAGCGTTGGCTCCTCAGACTCGGCTTTGGTCAGTCCAGAGCCCTCAGAGTCTCGCTCGCTGGTGTCTCCACACAGTGCTTCGGCTTTCGGGCCGACAGCCCACGATTCCCAATCGTCGTTGTTGCCGTCTTTTGATGGCGCGAGTGCTGCTGACCCCATCGTAGAAGCCACCCGTTTGTCAGAGCTTCGCGCTCAACGCCGACGGGAGGAGTTCGCCTCCACGGCTTCTACTGACGCTAACCCCGTGGGTGCTGTCCTCAAATTGCCAGCACCCACAACAGAAGCTTCGGCTTCCACCTCTGTCCTTTCGAGTACCCAGCCTTCTGCTTTTGCAGCCGCTGGTGGTGTGTCCCAAGTTTTCCCGCCGGAACTACATGTTACTGATTCCACTTTTCTCTTCACCTCCACCAACGCTGAGCCTTCTGCTGTTCGGGCAGACATTGACCTTGACAATACTGGCTGTGTAGTGCCACGCTTGCCTCACGGCTCTGTTGTTGGCAGTACACTGCATTTCGACTCCACTGTGCCGACCATTCCTCCTTTTTTGTCGCGTGGCAGTCGCACACAAGCCGCCGCTCGTGCCCAACGACTTCTTCACCGTCGTGCATTCGTTTCAGTGGCATCTGTGCCTTTGGATTTAACTGCCCCACGTGCATCTGTTCCGGTGGTTTCGACTGCCTTTGCGGTTCCGACCGCTTCCAATGCAACCGTCTCAGTGGTTTCGACTGCACCCGTTGCATCTGCCCCTGTAGTTTCGACTGCCGTGGCTGCTTCCCTTGATTGTGATGCACCTATTTCTATAGTTTCGACTACTTTAACTGCGATTTCGGTTGCTGCCCCGCCATCTGCTGCAGTAGCTCCCCGTAGGTCTGAAGCATCTCCCGCTTCCGCTACCTTTTTCCCCGTAGCTTCCCCACTGCCAGCCCCAGTTTCGACTGTTTCAAATGCATTGGCTTCAGTAGCTCCGTCGATGCCTGCAGTTTCGACTGCCCCTGCTGCATCTATCCCTGTAGCTCCGCCTTTGCCCCCAATGATGGCCATTCCACGCGTTCGCTCTATGGGCGTCCGGCGTACACTTTCGTTCATCATTAACCCCGCAGTTACCGTGCCAGTATTTCGTCTCGTACTGCATCCCTCACTGCTGCACGCGTCCCACAGCCGACTCTATGTCTGCCGTGTCTACTGCTGTTCATACGCTGGTTGCGGCCTCGGTTCCTCTAGCAGTAACTTCGGTTACTCCTGCAGAACCCTCTGCCGATGCACCTGTTATTTTTCATAATGCGGTGCCTTCACCCCCCCCCATACTCTCTCCCTCACACGAACATGCCGCCACTTCCCCTGCCTTACCCCTTCTTAAAATGGCAGAAAACGACCACCGTCGACTCCGTGATCTTCCCCGTCAATTTACCATGGTCGCCACCCAGCTTGGCCGACCCTGAGGTGGCCTCCCTCGCTGGTGGAACCGTCTCCACCTCTGCGACCCGGGCAACGACCGCGGGCGCTGGCGCGAGGTCTTCGACCACCCCCCGCCCGGCGTCGCCGGTCCCCCTGGTCCCGCTTCCCACGGCTTCGGCGGCCCGAGCTGCTTCGGCGGCCCAAGCTGCTTCGGCGGCCCCCGCTGCTTCGGCAGCCCCCGCCGCTTCGGCGGCCCCCGCTGTTTCGGCGCCCCCCGCTGTTTCGGCACCCCCTGCTGTTTCGGCAGCCCCGGCGGCTTCGGCGGCACCCGAAGCTTAGGCAGCACCCCCGACCTCGTCGGCACCCCCGCAGCGCCCCCGTTGGGTTTGTTCAACCCTGTGGGACTGCATTACCGACGACCAGCTTCTGTTGGCCCTGTCCCCCCGGGTTCGCCAGGAAGCGGGAGAGGCGGTCGACCTCGACCGCGAAGCGGTTCTTCGGGACCGCAACGCTCGGCTTGACGCCGAGTTCACCAAGGCGACCGCGGCACGCCACGCACAAATCGCAATACCGTGCGCGCAGGGCCACCAACACCGACGCCATCCTCGAGTACGCCCAGCGCAAGCAAGCGCAAGAACGAGAGGAGGCCCTGCCGGCAGCCCAGCTCGTCGATGATCGCCGCCAAGAGGATGCCTTGGCCGCTGAACAGGCTCGCGCTGACCAACAGCGCGAACGCGATCTTCGGGTCCGGGCGGGGCGCTCCGTGCCGGGACCGGCCCCTGCTGCTGCTCCTGCCCCGTCGGCGCCAGCGGCTCGGACGTACTCCGCTGCCGCCTCCAGCCCTGCGACGCGGTCTTCATCACGGTCGCGCTCCGTCACCTTCGAGGCCGGGGACGCCAGGTTTGCCCAAGCCAGGTTATCGGACGTTGAAAAATACGCCCAGGTCAACTACCAGGGTCGAGGATCGCAAGGCTGTCATGGACTTGGCGGCTGGCGTGTCCAGCGCCCTACCGTTGGCTGCCTCAATAGAGAACGCCGCTGATGCGGCCAACGGGTCTCGGCCCGACCTCCACGATGTGGTNCTCCGCTGCCGCCTCCAGCCCTGCGACGCGGTCTTCATCACGGTCGCGCTCCGTCACCTTCGAGGCCGGGGACGCCAGGTTTGCCCAAGCCAGGTTATCGGACGTTGAAAAATACGCCCAGGTCAACTACCAGGGTCGAGGATCGCAAGGCTGTCATGGACTTGGCGGCTGGCGTGTCCAGCGCCCTACCGTTGGCTGCCTCAATAGAGAACGCCGCTGATGCGGCCAACGGGTCTCGGCCCGACCTCCACGATGTGGTGAGCTGCCTCCTCGTGGCGATGCGGACGGCCACCATGAACGCAACGTCTCCGGTGGTGTGCCCCGGCTGCGCCGTGGCGATTCCGGCATCTTCGGCGCTCCAGCAGCCCAAGGCCGGCCGCGTCAAGGCACCAAGCCGCTCCAGCCCATCTTGCGAGAGAGTTGCCCGGGCCAGGACTCGGGCTGGAGTTCCTCGGGAGTGTCTCGCCGCCCCCCGGAGCCATCTTCATTGGCGGGCGATGGCCGGGAACGGCAGCGGGCCAAGCGCCACACGAGCGGGACTCGTGGCAGAGGAGGCGGATCGGGCTCTGGTTCAGACCGGAGTCTCACCCGGAAGCACGGCGCTCGGAAGGGTCCTTCTTCCAGGCATGTAGTCCCGTCCCTTATGGATGCGACTTTGAGTGATCGTTTTCTTTTACATGATGATGTTTTTTCACAGGCTTCGGCCCCCCCCTCGACTTCGGTTGTTGGTACGGTTTCGGTCCCCCCTCTTTCCTCGGACTCAGGGCGTTTGCGTCGTGTTGCGTTTTCGGACCTTCACCCGCCTTTAGGTTCCCCTGTTTCTTCGGATCCCTTTGCACCTTCTGTCCGTTCTGCCGCATTCAATGCTGTAGACTCCGGACATGTACGTCGCGTTGAGTTTTCGACCTCAGCTCCGGTTCCGACCGCCCCTGTTTTTTCGGAACCCTTGTCACCTTCTGTCCGTTCTGCCGCATTCAATGCTGTAGACTCCGGACATGTGCGTAGCGTTGAGTTTTCGAACTCACCCCCGGTTTCGACCACCCCTGTTTCTTTGGAGACCTCTGCACCCCATAGCCTTTCTACCGCTCGCCATGCCGTAGATCCACGAATGATGCAGAACCCTGGGTTTTCGAACCTCAAACCCCCTTCGGCGTTTGATCCGCCAGTGCCGGGTGTGTTGCGTAGCATGTTGTCTTCAGACCATGCCCCCACAGCTGCTTCGGTAGCGGTCGCCGCACCCCCCGCTGTCTCCGATGATCGTGCTTTGCCACTTTCTTCCAACGCAGCACACACTCGTCAAGCATCGATCGATGCGACTGATGCAGCTGCTCGTAATGCTCATGTAGCTACCGTACAACGAGCGTACATCACCCTCAACTTGAAAAAAGTTGAGAATGTCGCTACCATGCCCTTCCCCGCTACTCTGTTGCCGGGAGATGGCTATCAGCAGCTTATTCGCACAACAAGAACGGCTTTGTCCGATACTTTGCTGTTGTGTGACCAGCAGAGTGAAGGTTTGACAGACGCCGATTTTGTGCGTGGATGGGAACGTCCTCTCTAAAACAAATTTGAGTGCGATCAACCCCGACAAGCCCTCTACCGCCGATCTCGTCCTGGTCGTTACTGAATTCTTTCAGCAAGTGAAACGGAGCTTGGATGGAGGAGCCCCTGGACCAGACGCTTTCCAGCTATTGTTGCGTCACCTGGCGGAGCAATTTGACGTCGGAGACCGCCAAGAGTCGCTTTTGCGGCTGCAACAATTTGGCGTAGCAGATGGTACTCCTTTCGCGGAATATGTTCGGGCTTTCCGTTTGCTAGTTTCGTCTGTGGCTGGCTCTGAGCGTACTTTGGCCCGCAGTGTATCCATGACTCTCGAAATAGTGCGAAACTCGGTCGACAAGCAATTTCCGAGTCTGTCTCCGCTTTTGTACCCGGATGTTTTGGCCACTGCAGTCACTCCATTGAGTCGATTGCGGTTATGTGGGGGGCGTTCGCGCCTTGGCACCTAACAAAACCCCGGCTATCGGTGGTTCATCTTATTTTTCGTTGACTTCGACCCGTGGCTCTCTGAAGCTTCGGCGGTCTAACCACCTCGCCCCTGCGTTTCCGGGCCAGTGGGCATCCGGCTCCGCACAGAACCCTCTAGTTTTGCCTGTGCAACCTCAAGCTACGGATCCTTTCACGCACAACTACTTGTACAACTCGTGGCCTGTTTCGCAAGCCGACTGCTCTGATGTAATCGCCCTCACCGCCTATTTTCGTAACACCGATGATCCTTTTTTATGTGCTCCTTTGTTGACACAAGAGGCTCGTTCGCAAGCTTTCTGCGAAAACGAAACCGCTGCCTGAACTGCTCGGGTGATGACCATTCCATGAAGCAATGTGCTTCTCCCTTCACGAATTCTAGTGGGTTGTTGAATCCCGACTTGGGTCACCTCAATGACGACTCAGCTGCTTTTAGGCGTTGGCAAGGTCGCATGCGATCCTTCAGGCTTAAGTGTTCAGATGGCCGCAACAACAATCAGGGTAGACGACAGTCTTCTTCCTCCTCCTGTCAGCGTAGAAACCACGCTGGGCCTCGCCGTTCCGACGGTGGTAGTTCCTCTCACGCCAAGTGTAAAGGATATGAACGCGCGGTGCAATCTGGGAGACCCTTGAAGACGAACTCACTTGTTATTAACTCGTGTGGAACAGCAGTAGCTGTTGCCAAGGGAAGGTGGAGGATTGACTAGGATGGGGCCAGGATCAGCTGCTAAGCAGGGGCTACTAGATCCTGTCCCCTGTTTTTGTCCTTCCGTGGGGAGTTGCATCTCCCGCTTTTTCTCTGGGCATTAGCCCGCACTACCGTTTGTACTTTCCTACACATNGTAGCTGTTGCCAAGGGAAGGTGGAGGATTGACTAGGATGGGGCCAGGATCAGCTGCTAAGCAGGGGCTACTAGATCCTGTCCCCTGTTTTTGTCCTTCCGTGGGGAGTTGCATCTCCCGCTTTTTCTCTGGGCATTAGCCCGCACTACCGTTTGTACTTTCCTACACATTCAAATCCCACAACACTCCCGTGCTAGCCTGGTTACCCATCACACGCTTGAACGCTTTTTTTTTTTCTTAATATCACACAACAAACCCATCTCTTTCTATAGAAATATGTCTAAGATAGATTAGCAATGAATCCACAGCGTGAGCGAAAGGCTACCTGTATGTCTACGGTTTCCCAGACAGCAAACAACGATGTCTACCCTGTGGGTAACAGGCTCAACAAGGCAGTTTGGTAGCCATCTTGTGTATCTATCTGTGTGTTATGTTGGGAAGTTGTAGACGGAAGATTTAGGGGAACTCGGTTTGTCGGGTGTCCTATTATGGCACCCTTATGTGTTTGCGGAGCAAGCGCGTCTCGGGGTGTGTATATTTTCGTCATCAACTTATTTTTTGTGTGTGATGTATAGGGGCATGAGCGGCGCGGGAGAACATATTTACCTTAATGTGTAATGGCGTGTCGTTAAATGTGAGAAGGGCACGGGAGATCATTATCTCATCATTGCCTCCTGACTTTTGAGATTTATTTCTCGATCAAAGCTCGAACCAAGAAGCAAAGCACAACAGCAGAGACATTTTGTTTTTCGTTTTTTTTTAGCTGCTAGCCCTATTTTTTATTATACCACACCCCTCCCCCCCCCCGGTGTTTTGCCATCGGGGTTGGGTTTTCGTCGCTTGGCAACGACGT